TTACGAAGCTTTGTTCCCAAGCCAGTTTCCCATGATACTACATCTGCACACAATCTTAACATTATACTCAACTTACATCACTTTTAATACCAATATTCCCCTTTGCCATTTTTCAAACTGTCCTCTTTGTGGCGCGGTCGGTGTAACAGTCCAGTAATTATCCCTGTGGTAGTTGAGTCGTTTAAGGATGTTGTTATATTCCCATAACTATTGTTCGCTGAAGTAAATTACCCTTGCGATACACGGCAGGACGTCAATGTATCCCTGGTTTGTTTTGTGGTTGTTGTTGTGTACAAGTGAGCGAGTGTGTGTGTGTGTTTATATGCGTGCGTGCGTACGTGCAGGCTTGAATGAATGAATGTGCGCGAGTCAAGTGTGTGTGTGTGTGTGTGTGTGTGTGTGTGTGTGTGTGCGTGTGTGTGTGTGTGTGTGTGTGTGTAATGTGTGTGTGTGTGTGTGTGTGTGTGTGTGTGTGTGTGTGTGTGTGTGTGTGTGTGTGTGTGTGTGTGTGTGTGTGTGTGTGTGTGTGTGTGTGTGTGTGTGTGTGTGTGCGTTGCCGACTTTTCTCGCAGCCCTTGTGATTCTGCAGCAAATACATTCGTTTTAAAATCCCTTTGGCAAAGACAGAGACACGAATCGGGTGGAGAGCCCTGTAGACTTTTAAACCTTCCATCAATAACAAAAAAATATCACGACTTGGATTCACTCTCCTGGACGCGCAACTAACTTTAAAAAAGGGGGAAATATACATATATACGTAAAAATGTAGTTCAAATCGACTATATTACACAGCAATTTTGGGCGTGTCTGTGTATCTATCTAAGCACATGCCTGTGTGTGTATGTGAGTGTGTATGTGTTTATGTGTATTCCCATGTGTATGTACATTTCTATATATGACCATGACGACATATCCATATACCTAAAACAACACAACCACAAAACAAACACACAGAAAACACCCACTTAAAAAACAAACAAACACATACCTAAACCAACACAACCACAAATAAAAACACAAACATCCACTTAAATACCTGGACCAATGCAACCATGAATAATAAAAAACACCCACTTACAAAAAATCCACATATAAACAAAACAACAAAAAAACACACCCACTTGAAAAAAATCCACACACTTGAACCAATACATACAAAAACACTCACTTGAGAGAGAGAGAAAAAAAAATCCCCCCCCCAAAAAAAAAAAAAAAAAAAAAAAACTAAAACTAAAACACACACACACAAAAAACGAAAAATCCACACACTTGAACCAAACATACACCCACACAAACACCCACTTGAAAAACAAAAACAATCCACATAAACCAACATAAATAGAAACACACGCACATACAAAAGAATAAAAAAGATAATAAGAGAAAAAATCATAAAAGAAAAATAATATATATATATATATATATATATATATATATATATATATATATATATATATATATATATATATATATATATATATATATATATATATATATATATATATATAACCCCCCGAATCTCATCAAGCTCAGCGCCCTATAGAAGCACTTACTTCTGAGGTACACAGCACCTGCAACACGGCGAGCAGAAGCAGGCCGGGGTGGCGGCGTAGGAGGAGGAGGAACTGAAGCCATCTCCATAGGACGGACAAGGACGACACCGAAACGTGAGAATCCTGGTGAAAGCTTCCTGGAACTCCTGGTTGAAAATACTGTAGATTATAGGGTTGAAGGAAGAATTGGTGTATCCGAACCATGTCAGCACCTGCAGGAGGAGAAGAAGGAGGTGGAGGAGACGGTGAGGGTGAGTGGCATCCTACGGTAACTCTCTCGGTAATGAGAATTGTCGTTGGGGGGGGGGGGGGGGGGGTGTTCCGGGGCTATTGAATGCAAATTGTCTCGTCTTCAGGAGAAAAAATTGAAGGTGAATCTAATTATGAGGGTCTTTGGCTTTCTAGTCTCTCTTTCTCTATGTTTATTTATCTATTAATCTATCATTCTCTATATAGGTGCCTCTCTGACCACACACACACACACACACACACACACACACACACACACACACACACACACACACACACACACACACACACACACACACAACACACACACACACACACACACACACACACACACATACACACACACACACACACACACACACAACACACACATATATTATGTATATGTAAGTGTGTGTCCACGTATTTACATGCAAATATGTATGTATGTAGTATCTGTATCTCCATGTCTATCGACCCAAAACACATTTCCTTCGATGGCAACTCACCTTAAAAACGATGTCAGGAATACAGGTCTTGCAGAAGGCAGCGGCGATGTTGACGCAGAAGAAGGGTACCCAGCAGGTGAGGAAGGTGCCCACGATGATGCCCACGGTGGTCGCCGCCTTGGACTCCGACACGTGGCACGGTGCCGCTACTTTGGTCGGCCTTGAGGTGTCGCCCTCGAGGGAGCCGAGGGTGACCGGTCTCACCAGGGCCTGAAGGGGTGGGGTGGGGTGGGGTGGGTGGGGGGAGAAGGAGGAGGTCAGTTGAAGTTGTGTAATTTCGTAAGGTAATCAAGTCATTTTCTTTATCCAAATTAGCGAACGAAAACGGAAAGACGTAGATAATGATATTAAAGAGAAGGCAAAAAAGATGACGGGAATGGAAATTGGGTCGTTTTCTTAATTGAAATCAGCAACTGACAACGGAGATACTTTGAAAAAAATACATAAATATAAAGTTCAGGAATAAGTTTCATAACAAAAATATGCGTTGAATATGATATAACTTTACATTCCTAAATCAGGTGGTCATTTTCTTCCTTCACCTCAACAAGCGAAATCGGAAATACATAGAAAAAATATATATTCACATAAAAACAGAACCTTATTAAATTAGTACCAAACACAATCACAAAGACATTTATAAAGAGAAAAACTTCAGTGTCCATGAACAGACAGCATAAAGAAGGCCTGCCCATACGACACCTAATCCTGCAACAAGGGTTAAAAATATTTGGAAATCCTTGCATGTAAAAGAGCCATTTTCAGCGACGAAGAATTGTAAAGAAAGCCCGCTGCTCAGGGGACGTCACGCTCTTGTTGACTTTACAATTTGCTCAAGAATTAAGACCATTCGAGACTTGTTGATTTAGCAAATTGCTCTGCGTTTAAGCTGGAGGGAAGTTGATCCGCCATAGCTGGTGTTAGAGGCGCAGGTACGTGTATATGGGGTGTATATATATATATATATATATATATATATATATATATATATATATATATATATATATATATATATATATATATGTATGTATGTATATTATCGATGCTAGGAATTAGCCTAAGAGATCGGATGAGGGCGACGTGGATCACAGAACAGACGAAAGTGGAAGATATACTCGGGATCATCAAAAAGAATAAATGGCAATGGGCAAGGCATATATGCCGGGGACATAACAACAGATGGACACAGAAAGTAACAGACTGCCAAGGGCCTGACCAATGACAGGTTGGCGTGACGAAATAGCGAAATTTGGGAGCCAAGACTGGAAACAAAAAACGCAAGACAGGAAAAGTAGGAAAAGAGGCCTACGTCCTGCAGTGGATTGACTCAGGCTGATGATTATATTATATCTATATATATATATATATATATAATATATATATATATATATATATATATATATATAGAGAGAGAGAGAGAGAGAGAGAGAGAGAGAGAGAGACATACACACACACACACACACACACACACACACACACACACACACACACACACACACACACATATATATATGTGTGTGTGTGCGCGTGTGTGTGACTTTGTGTGCATATGTGTGAATGAGTGTGTGTATGCATGCATATGTGTGAGTGAGTGAGTGAGTGAGTGAGTATGTGTTTGTCTAAAATCACTGCTAATCCAAAAAGACCTCACTCTGTTCAGCTCGTCCAGCAAGCAGCATGGGCTCTGAACAAACGACGACCCACATTTTCCTGAGATCCTTGTCGTACCACTCATACATCCAGACTTACGTGAGATCTTTGTTCCTCATTACTACCCCCGAGCTCCCTGCTTGCTGTTCCTCCATTTTTGAAACCTTTCTTACTCATACCAATACCAGAATGAGGGATTTGAACAAAAGAAAGAAAGGAAGAAAGATCTCACGTAAGTCTGGATGTAAGAAAAAAAAAAAAAAAAAAAAAACACGCATTTCTTGTACCACCAACGAGAACAGATATCGTCCGTGGGTAAATATTTTTTTCCCTGAGGATATTATAAATATCCTTCCTTTTATCCTTTGTTAGGGATGGGGGGGGGGCGAGGAGGTCGAAATAAAATAGGTCTATGAAATATATTTGGCTACTATTTTTTACGATCTGGAAACCAGCTGCCATCATCATTTTGTTCCGATCAATACGATACATTCATTCATTGTACCATTCCACTGAAGGGATTACGTCAGGGCACTTGAGTTCTGTTGCAATCCTCTTTTCTCAAGAACTTAGAACACCGCTGTTACCTTTGCCTCATCAAATAAGTTAATTAAGTTTACTTCAATGAAGAGTAAGTTGTGTAAGCTAGCAATAGCATATAATTAGTGAGAGTTCATGCCCCTTGTATCTTCGTTTTTACTAATTGCTTCTATACTGTGTGATGACCCTTATAGGCCGCATTTCGTGTTTTGTGTTTACAAACAAACGAAGCTTCTAAATTAATTACTTTTCCCGTCGGTTACTCAGTATTTGACTTCGTTACTCCAAGGACAGGGTACATAGCCGTCGTCGCCGAGCACATCACACATCATACCACAGCATCACACCACAACTTCACACTACAACTTAACACCACAACATCACACAACTAACAACATTCACACCGCAACTTCACACCACATCACACCGCAACTTCACACCACATCATACTACATCACACCACAACATCATACCATAACTTCACACTACAACATACCAAAACATCACACAACACCACACCACAACTTCACACCACATCACAACCTGACACCACAACACACACACCACATCACAACCTGACACCACACACACCACATCACAACCTGACACCACAACACCACACCACATCACAACCTGACACCACAACACCACACCACAACCGCTTACTCCACCACCCGACCCTTACACAATGGGACTTAACCAACAATGTCTTCAAGCGTATCGCTGCCCATCTTCTTAAGCCATTGTGTAAAAGCTCCAGAGAGAAATAACGAACGGAGGTGAAGTTGTGATGAAGAGCCGAAATGTTTAGAAAATGATTGGGTGTCGGTCGGTAATAAATAGGAAATGAGTAGATAATTAGAATGAAGATTAAATAGATAGATCGATAGATATATAGAGGGAGGGAGGGAGGGAGGGGAGGGGAAGAGAGGAAGGAGGAAGAGAGAGAGAGAGAGAGAGAAGAAAGATTTGTGATTAAGAGCCGAAATGTTTAGAAAATGACTGGGTGTCAGTCGGTAATAATTAGGAAATGAGTAGATAATTAGAATGAAGATTAAATAGACAGATCGATAGATATATAGAAGGAGGGAGGGAGGGAGAGAGGGAGGGAGGAAGGGAGGAGGGGAAGGGAAGAAGAGAGAGAGAGAGAGAGAGAGAGAGAGAGAGAGAGAGAGAGAGAGAGAAGAGAGAGAGAGAGAGAGAGAGAGAGAGAGAGAGAGAGAAGAAAGATTTGTGATTAAGAGCCGAAATGTTTAGAAAATGACTGGGTGTCAGTCGTAATAATTAGGAAATGAGTAGATAATTAGAATGAAGATTAAATAGATTGATCGATAGGATATACATAGAGGGAGGGAGGGAGGGAGAGGGAGGGAGGGAGTGAGGAAGGAGGAGGGAGAAGAGAAGGAGAAGAGAGAGAGAGAGAGAGAGAGAGAGAGAGAGAGAGAGAGAGAGAGAGAGAGAGAGAGAGAGAGAGAGAGAGAGAGAGAGAGAGAGAGAGAGAGGAGGAGGGGAGAGGGGGGGAGAGAGAGAGAGAGAGAGAGAGAGGGAGAGAAAAGATTTGTGATTAAGAGCCGAAATGTTTAGAAAATGATTGGGTGTCAGCCGATAATAATGATGAAATAAATAGGTAAATAAAATAAAAATCAAACAGACAGATAGATAGATACAGAGAGAGAGAGAGAGAGAGAGAGAGAAGAGAGAGAGAGAGAAGAGAGAGAGAGAGAGAGAGAGAGAGAGAGAGAGAGAGAGAGAGAGAGAGAGAGAAAGAAAGAAAGAGAAAGAGAAAGAAAAATAGAGAGATAAAAATAAAGTCAGAAAGGCAGAGATAAAGAGAAAGAGATTAAGAGTGAGAGAGAAAGAAAGAAAGAGAGTGACAAAGAAAAGAAAAGAAAAAAGAAAGAGAACATTAAAGAACGTGTGGCTGTCGCAATAACTAAATCTAATTCTAGAATCGTCTGCGTGAGATCTTTTGTGTTTGTGGGAAAGGAGGAAATAACACGGGGATTATTTTTTTGAATGGAGGTTGTAAATCTGATTAAAATAAACACTGTAAATCTTATTATTTGCCGGCACTGTGAATCCAAATTACCTACCAGCGCAAAAATAAATCATCTGAGCTATAAATCTGACTCTCTATAAGCATTGCATATCTCATTATCTTTCATTGCTGTGTATCTAATTATCTATCAGCTGCATAATTCGGATTATTTCTCAACACTGTAAAACCAATTGTCTATCAGCAATTTAAACCTAATTATCTATCATTACTGTGAAATCTAGTTATCTATCAGCAATTTTAACCTAATTATCTATCAGCAATTTAAACCTAATTATCTATCAACACTGTAAAAACAATTATCTATCAGCAATTTAAACCTAATTATCATCATCACTACAGATCTAATTATCCATCAACACAGTAAATCAGCAATTTAAACCTAATTATCTATCATTACTGTGAAATCTAATTATCTATCAGCAATTTAAACCTAATTATCTATCATTACTGTGAAATCTAATTATCTATCAGCAATTTAAACCTAATTATCTATCATTACTGTGAAATCTAATTATCTATCAGCAATTTAAACCTATCTATCAGCAATTTAAACCTAATTATCTATCAACACTGTAAAAACAATTATCTATCAGCAATTTAAACCTAATTATCATCATCACTACAGATCTAATTATCCATCAACACAGTAAATCAGCACAGTAAATCTAATTATCTATCATTACTGTGAAATCTAATTATTTATCAGCACCATAACTATAATCATCTATCAGCACTTTAAACCTAATTATCTATCATTACTGTGAAATCTAATTATCTATCAGCAAATTTAAATCCAATTATCTATCAACACAAGTGAAATCTAATTATCTATCAGCAATTTAAATCCAATTATCTATCAACATAGTGAAACTAATTATATCAGCAAGAATCCAATTATCTATCCATAGTGAAATCTAATTATCTATTAATCCAATTATCTATCAAACAGAAATCTAATTAT